ACTGACCAATCAGGTGTCTCATTTGGTCCAGTTGTGGTCACCACCAACCAATCAGATGTCTCATCTGCTGCAACTGGCTTCACCACTGACCAATCAGGTGTCTTATCTGGTCTAGTTGGGTTCACCATCAACCAATCAGATGTCTCATCTGGTCCAGTTGGATTCACCAATGACCAATCAGGTGTCTCATCAAGTCCAACTAGCTTCACCATCGACCAATCAGGTGTCTCATCTCCAGTTGGGTTCACCACTGACCAATCAGGTGTCTCATCTGGTCCAGTTGGGTTCACCACTGACCAATCAGGTGTCTCATCTGGTTCAGTTGAGTTCACCACCAAACAATCAGATAAGTCAGACAGAACAACAGGAAGAGACCCACAGGTCATGGATGAAGAAGTATCAGTGCAGTCAAAAGTATTCAACACATTGTCTTACCTGACTGGAAACCAGCCAGAGTCCACTGGAACCAATACCATGAGGCTGGTTTCCTCAAGGGGGTACATGCAGGTAAGCACAGGTGAAACAAAGAACTTTAGAGTTCCATCTGAGTTCTGGCCTTTGGTGAAATCTTCAGCTACTGATGGATTATCTGTTTCTGAGACAACTGCATCAACGTTACGTCAAGTTGTTAGCGGGGAGAGTTATACTTTAGCTCCACCCACTGAAGATGGCACACCTGAGGTGTCATACCTGACATCTGCTGTGACAAATCCACCATCCAACCCTCACTCTACTGCTACCCAAAATTCACCTTCAGCTGTGAGCTCCATCCATCATTACAACACCTCTGTGGTAATGATTAAAGGAGCCGACACACCACAGCCATCATCTAAAACCACAGCTGTACCTGTAACACTTGTATCTATCACACCTGAAACCACATCTGCCCAAACTCGTGAATCTTCACCCGACACCAAACCTGAAACTACACGTATACCTGCCGCACCTGGCACTTCATCTAAAACCACACCTAGATCTACTACACCAAAAACTTCACCTAAAACCACACTTAGAGCTATTACACCAAAAACTTCACCTAAAAACACACATGAACCTGCTGCACCTGGATCTACCACACCTAAAACGTCACCTGAAAACACATCTGTACTTCCCACACCTGGATCTACCACGCCTAAAACTTCACCTGAAAACACATCTGTACTTCCCACACCTGGATCTACCACGCCTAAAACTTCACCTGAAAACACATCTGTACTTCCCACACCTGGATCTACCACACCTAAAACTTCACCTGAAAACACATCTGTACTTCCCACACCTGGATCTACCACACCTAAAACATCACCTGAAAACACATCTGTACTTGCCACACCTGAAATCTCACATGAAGCCACACTTGAACCTGCCACCCATGAATCAACATCTAAAACTTTACCTACAGAACCTGAAACCACAACTGAAGCCACGCTTGGGCCTACAACACTTCAAGCTTCACCTGAAACTACACCTGTACCTGCTGTACCTAATACCACACCTGTCCCCACTACACTGCAGTCTTTGCCTGAAACCACACCTGGACCTGCCACACCCAAAACAACCACTGTAGTTGTCAAATCTGAATCCACGACTGAAGCGAAACCTGTCAGTACACCTGCAACAGCCACGCCAAAAACAACCTTGTGGACTAGCATCAGGACCACATCAACTCTTGCTGGTACCAGAACATTAACCAGGACTCCTTTACCTACAGTCTCGATCAGCACAGTGAGTGTCCTGCTGTCTGTTCTTTATTTGGACTTTTACAGTAAGAAGTTTTAAAAACAGCATCAAAGTGTTTTAAAACATTTGAAGAACTTGACAGAACCAGGTCAAATGATCCTTGTTGGACTCTAGACCTTCTTTGAAACTTGTCTGATTTGACCCATTTGCTCTTGCAGGTCCAGACTTCTTTGGGGCCCAGGTGCTCGGTGGAGCTGACTGAGGTCAGGTCCAGTTCAGACTCAGCTGTGGTTCAGCTCACCTCCACCTGTCCGTTACCCGACCTCACCATAACCGCAGGTGCAGGTTTTGGGCTAAAAACAGGCCACTGCGAGCCAAACGGAGACACTGGATCTGTCTTCATCTGCCACGTGACACAGCTGGACCCAGGAACCTTGTACCGGCTGGTGGTGATCTCCAAGATGGATGGAAGGAGGAGCGGTGCCTGGGTGCGCACAGGTAAGAACTGACCTGAAGGGTTAGTGAAGCTCCTCCCACCTTCTGCAGTGATCCCTGCAGAAAGTGGGAGGAGCTTCTACTTCAGATTGTTCCACATTAACGGTCATTAAGATCAGTTTAATCAGGACAGTTCAGGTTCAGATGAAATGATTGTTGTGACGATGTGGTAAAAATATTTATTTTAAATGAAATTTTTATTTTATTTATGTTTAGATCAATTTTTCTTATCTAACATCTTCAAACACAAACAGAAAAATTACATTACAAAAAACATTTTTCTAGATTATCAAAGTTCATGCTCAATAATCCAGGTAGAAAAATCCAACTAAGTTAAGTCAGGTCCTCTGGACGGTTGCACCCACTATGTGAAGGTGTTATTTATAAGACTGAGTTTGTTGTAGCTCCTCGACTGATGAAGTCTTTTGGATGAAAGACAAAACATTTCAACAAGAAGAAACCGTCCGGAGGACCTGATTTTGTTGAATTTTTAGATTTTTTTAGTTTTTCTTTGTTCTTTCTGTGTCATTGTCTCCTTCTGTCTCTGTCTCTCTAGCCTTGTCTCGCTGTTGCTGTCTTACTGTCCCTGTCTCACTGTCCCTGTCTCACTGTCCCACCATTTCTTTTGAATTTCTGTCTGTTCTTTGGGACTCAGTTTGTCTGATTTGATTTTTAGTTGGACATTTTGTCTTCAGGGTAGTAGACCTGGGGACAGGAGACTTAAAAGTTTGCCTGTTTGTCTCATTTTTTTCTGCTTTTGTTTCATTAAAGTCTCACGATTTCTCACTTATTGTCTCTGTTTCTCCATCCAAGTCTCACTGCCCCACTATTCCTTGGATTTCTGTCCGGTCTTTCGGCGTTTGTCTGTTTACAGTTTGTCTTTCAGCTGATGGACATTTTGTCTTTGGTGTGTTAACGACCTGCAGACAGGAGGCAGACAAGTCTGTTCGAGGACAGAGTTCGAGTCTGTAGTGTTTTCATGTTGAGGGGTCGTTGTCCACATCCTGTCCCACCCGCTCTCTTTTTCTGTTTCCTGTTTGACTCTCGCTGCTGTCGTGAAACATTTTATTGTCAGAAGCTCAAACAATCGGATCGCCCTCCCCGTCCACCACCACCACTGCAGAACCGAAGTGTCCTCAAGTGTCTAAATCTGTCTCAGTCTAAACCCGTCAACATCCACATAAACCTTCAAACGTCCCGAACCATCTAAACGCAAAAAAACAACACCTGTTCCATCTTCCGTAACGTGTCCATATCGGTTTTAACTTGTCCAAAATCATCTGCAGCCTGTCCCAACCAATACAGAGTCTGTCCAAACATGTCCCAAACAGTTTCAATCTGTCCAAACTCCTCTAAACATGTCCCAGTCTGTCCAAACACTTCCTTACTAATGTGTCCTAACTTGTCCATACCTAATTAATCAGAACCTTTTGTCCTATCTGACCATCATCTTCTTTTGCCTCAGACCCAGTTGGTCCAGCTCACCTCAAGGTCCAGTTAGACCAGGAGAGCCCAGCTGCAGTTCCAGGTAAATCTGGTCTGCGGATATTCTGGTCTCGTTCTGCTGGACATGTGGACTGGTATCATGTCATTCTCGAGGACACCTGCTCCGGTTCTGTCCACAGTACCAGAATCATGGGTTCTGCTGCCCCCCAGTCTGGTTTCAGCTTGCTGGTCCCAGGAACTCTGTACAACATCAGCGTGGTGGCTTCTTCTGGTAATAAGAGTGCGGCACCAGTGCATGCTGTCGTGGCGACAGGTGAGATCCAGAACTTCTTCAGGTGTGAAGTTCCTGATCCAGCTCCACCCTGCTGTAAGATGTTCTCATCAGGTTCCTCAGTGGTGTCCTTTCTGTCCCTCCTGCAGCTCCCTCTGCCGTGGACAGCCTGCAGGTAGTGTCCTCGTCCTCAGACAGCCTCAGCATGTTCTGGCGGGTCGGCCCTGGAAGGACGGAGAGTCTCAGGGTTTTGCTGATAAACCAGAATGGAGTTCTGCTGAGGAACATCACTGTGACAAACACCACCACCTTCATTGAGATGGACGACCTGATGCCAGGGACTTTGTATGTCATCACCATGGTAACAGAGGCTGTTGGACTGCAGAGCTCCACCTCCACACAAGCCTTCACAGGTAGGTTCACCTACAGATGCTGCAACAACAGTTTCCTATTAACTGACAGAAGTTTGTACAAGACGCCCTCTCCTCCTCCTCAGCCCCAGCTGCCGTCTCAGATCTGATCCTCAAAAATGATGGAAGTTCAGAGAGACTTTGGGCCTCCTGGACCCCACCTGAAGGACTTGTGGAGGCTTATCTGGTGACCCTGTGGGCACCTGGATCAACCCCACAACAACGCATCCTGCCTCCCAATGTCACCGAGGTGGTGTTTGAAGGGCTGACCCCTGGATGTCTCTATCAGCTGTCCGTCAACTCATCAGCTGGAGGTCAAAGTTCAGAGAGCAGAACCACAGGGAGGACAGGTGAGTTCAGTCAATCAGTCATGTGACCCAGGTGCGACATAAACATAAAATGAAGATGATCAAAAGCATTTCTGTCAAAAACGAGTTGCTCACATGAGCAGAACCAATCAGAACAACTTGGTTGGAGCCCTGTCTCAACAATGATAAATAAAATAAACTTTATTTTGAAATTTATTTCTGGGCTTTAACTGGGGATTTGTCTTTTCACCCACTTTCAAATTAAAAGTAGTCTCTTCATGTAGGTGCTGTCCATCCCTGATCCTTGGTTCTGTTGAGAAGCTTTAACCATTAATTGATTCTGTTCAGTAACACATGGTCCTGCTCAGAAAACCATATCCTCTATCCTGTTCACTAACTCTAATCCATGGTTCTGTTCAACAAAAAAGGTTAAATCAAGTCATCTGGACCAGTTTGATAACTCTAACTTTCAGTCCTGTTCAATGACCCCTGTTCTGTAATCCGAACCCTTAACGTTACTTCAATTCAAGGAGCAGTGAGTTGGAAGAGGGCCACCTAGTGGTTAATCTGCAGGCTGCAGCCAACTTTTTTTTTAAATTAGGAAACGGTAATGAACGAACTAAATATGAGAAAAACACAAAAATCTTGTTCTAGACATAAATGCTGTTATGCCATTTCTGAACTACTGTAGAACCCAGTTCAGTCTGACAATAAAGGTTTGTCCAAAATATAGCTGCGTCCAAATAAAGACAAAGTTGTACCATAACATTTAAGACTCAAAAATACTGAATACCTGTTGATGTTTTTATGGTTCGTGTTCTTCATGTTGAGCTGCAAACAAGAATTAAAACCATTATTTGTAACAATCTGAGCCTTACTTTTGTTATGGACCACTTCCTGGTGTTTCAGGTCCTGACCAGGTGTTGGCCCTCTCCATGTCCATGGGTGGTGGCACGCTACGACTCACCTGGTCGCCCCCCAGAGGTGTCTGGGACAATTACAGCGTCCTGCTGACCAATGGTTCGATCATTCTGCTGAACCGAACACTCGATAAACTGAGCAGGCAGCTCGTCCTGTCCTTCAGTAGCCTTGGCCTGGTCCCGGGATGCCGTTACGCCGCATATCTGACCGTGCACAGTGGCGTTCTGAGGAGCACGGCTCACTGCAGCAGCTGGCTCGGTCGGTTTGCATTCATTTACAGTTTTTGTTGATTTTAAAACAACTGATTAGTGCAAATTATACAACCAAAACTATTCAGTTCTGTTTGGTTTGATTGTCTCTTGGTGACAGCGGGAAGAGAAAAACTTATTTTAACAGGAATAAATCTTGACATTATTTCCAGGAGTCTCAGACTGGAGGGGGAAAACAAAAAAAACAAAAAAAAAAAACAGTTTATGTTTATTTGTTGCTGTTGTCAGAAACATGTCAGGACTTTTAAATCCTGGCTGCAGGACAACGACAGCTTCCTGTCAGACTCTTAAAACAAAATGTTTTCCACCTTTGCAGCGCCTCGTTCGGTGAATCAGCTGCTCCTCCGTCAGGTGGACGAGACTTCTCTCAGCGTCCAGTGGAGTAAACCTTTTGGACAGTGGGACAACTTCACGGTAGTCCTCACAGACAAAACCCCAGACACACCTGAGACTCAGAGGATCCTGAACTGGGAGGCCAGAGACTGTACCTTCAAAGGCCTCACCTCAGGGCGCTTCTACACTGTTACCGTGACGACCAACAGTGGGAATCTGAGCAGCTCCGCCTCTCTGAAAGCATGGACCAGTATGTCTGATTGACCATGAAATAATATTCACTGGTTCATGACTGAATGATTGATTGATTGATTAAGATGGAACAGTTCATCAATGATCTGTAACATCTTTGTCTCCATCTGTCCATCCTCTTCAGCACCAGCTCCAGTCGGCCGCCTGCAGGTTTCCAATTTCGGCAGCATCGATAGCCTGCAGACAGAGTGGGAACCATCTCCTGGAGATCTGGACTCGTACCAGGTCCTGCTGGTCCATGACAGCAGCGTCATCAAGAACGAGAGCGTGCAGGCGAACATCAGCAGCCTCAGCTTCCAGGCCCTGAGGCCAGGAGCTCTGTACAAGGTGGTGGTCACCACCATCAGAGCTGGACTCACCTCCAGACAGGCGGTGGCCGAAGGACGCACAGGTGAGGTCAACTGACCTGAACCATTCACCTGCAAACTGTTTACCTCACATACTTTTTGAGACTTAAGTCTAACAAAAAATAAATAAATAAAAAAATCAGGAAACATCTACAGAGATCAGCAGATAGAAGAAAAAAACCCTCCGATTATCACAGTGTTATTGCTGAGTCAGCATTTTTATATTTTTGCTACATTTAGCTTTTAGCTGTTATTTTACAACTTTTAGCTTGTATTTTGTCACTTTAATCTAGACTTTTGCTATTTTTAGTTATCATTTTGCTACTTTTAGCTACTAATCTACCATTTTTAGTTACAGCTACTTTGATATTTTAGCTACTATTTTTTCACAAACTAGTTTTTAACACTTTTAGCTAGCTCTAAAAAAGTCAGGTCCTCTGGATGGATTTTTCTTGTTGAAACGTTTTGTCTTTTATCCGAAAGACTTCTTCAGTCTGAGGAGCTGCAACAAACTCAGTCTTATAAATAGCACCTTCTCAGAGTGGATCAACCAGATTGCTGCTGACAACCAAAACTAGCTGTTCACATGCAAAAGGAGGACCATTGGCCTCATGACTGATCGTTAGTGCCCTGATGGCTGTTTGCTATTCACAGGGGGCTGAGTGATACTAGCAATAACAGCATTATAAGAGGGGGACAGTTGAACCCGGAGGCCTCCACCCCTGTTTAATGATGGACGATTTCTTTTCACAAAGATGGCCTCCTTTACTCCTCTCTCAAACCAACATTCCTCTCTATCAAGGATATGAACATCTTCATCCCTGAAAGGGTGACCGCTGGCCTGGAGATGAGTGTAGACTGCAGAGTCCTGGCCTGATGATGTTGATCTTCTGTGCTGGGCCATCCTTTTGGCCAGTGGCTGTTTAGTTTCCCCGATGTAAGACTGATCACAGCCCTCCTGACACTGAACAGCATACACAACATTACTCTGTTTGTGCCGGGGGACTGGATCTTTGGGATGAACCAGTCTTTGCCGTAATGTATTTTGGGGTTTAAAAGCCACTGGGACGTCATGTTTAGAAAATAAACGTCTCAGTTTCTCTGATACTCCCTCAACATACGGAATGACCACTGGTCTGGGTCTGGGTTCCTACTTTTCACCTGATGGCTGACTGGAGTCCTGTTTGGGTTTCTTCTCTGCTTTCAGGAAGGCCCAGTTAGGATATCCACATTGCTCTAGAGCCTGTCTTGTGTGGGATTTCTCCTTCTGCCTGGCTCCTGAGTTAGTGGGGACGCTGTCTGCTCTGTGGTACAGAGTCCTGATGACTCCTAACTTGTGCTCCAAAGGGTGATGGGAGTCAAACTGCAAATACTGGTCTGTGTGGGTGGGTTTGCGGTACTCCTAAGGTTGCAAATGTCCTCTATCAGAGACTGAGACCTCACAGTCCAAGAAAGCCAACCTGACATTTTACATCTTCTCGTGTGAACTTGATGTATTTATCCACAGAGTTGATGTGGTCAGTGAAATATTGGACTTCCTGAGATTTAATTTTAACCCAGGTGTTGTCAACATACCTGAACCAATGACTTGGTGGTGTCCCTGAAAAGGACGTCAAGGCTCTCTTTTCTACCTCCTCCATGTACAGGTCGGCAACAATAGGAGAAACTGGAGACCCCATAGCACACCCATGTTTCTGCCTATAATATTGCTCCCCATGTGTGAAGTAGGTTGACTGCAGGCACAGTTTCAAGAGTTGACACAGTTTCTCTGTGGTCCTGCTGCTCAGAGTGGTGTCTGATTTTAAACTGACCATCTCTAATGCCTCATCAACTGGAAGTAAAGAGTGATGCGACATCAAAAAAGACCATTGTTTCATCAGTCTCCATGATGACATCCCTCACCTTATCCACAAAGTCCATGGTGTTCTGTATGTGGTGTTCTGATGCCAACTCAGGAAGCAGGTATGGGTTTTGGACCTGCCCATCTGCAGTCCTGTCCCCAATAGAGAAACTAAAAAAAAAATGACAAGGACAACCTATATAGATTGACACTGAGACAAACTAACACTTGAAACTTGTCATGTCTTAATGTCCTCATGTTCAGGACATCCTTAACGAGGAAAATACATCTGAAATAAAATTGAACAAATTAATCATCAAATCAAAATCAGAAAGACAAGAAAAGATTTGAACAAATCTGAATTACTTCACTCCGACTACCCTGAAATAAAAATCCAAACATTTTCAGATTGCAGATCTTGACCTGTTAGGGTCCAACTGCAGATCTTGACCTGTTAGGGTTTGTGTTCGGCTGAAAGCCGGATATTGTTGAAAAGCTGGAATTTGGGAGGAATTTTCAGGAAGTGTTGACAATGACAGCTCCACAAAAGGACGTGCAGGTCTGTGGGTCTGAGACTTCCTGTTAGGACGAGCTTCAGTCTTTGCTGCTGCCAGGAAAATGCCTTCTCTCAAAATAATCATTTGGTGTGAAGATGACGTGACACCAGCATATAGAAACACTTCAGCTGTTGTCTGATGGAACTCTTCAGGTGTTGTCTGAAAAAACCCTTCAGCTGTGTGTGTGTGTTTTCTGATGAAATGCTTCAGCTTATGTCTGATGGAACCCTTCAGCTGTTGTCTGATGAAAGTCTTCAGCTGTTGTCTGATGAACCCCTTCAGCTGTACAGACTCAAACTGAATTGAAACAAACACGTGGACAAAGGAAGGTGCGTTTGTCTGTGGCTCTAGCTGTTACCTGCATGTCTGACTCCACCCGTCTCCCTCCAGTGCCAGCGGCAGTCACCGATGTTCGGGTCAGTAACAACGGTCGAACAGACTTCCTCACCGTGTCCTGGAACCAGGCTGCAGGTGAGGTGGACAGTTACCTGGTGACCCTGAGAGACTGCGACAGGACGCTTCACACCGTGGTCGTGTCCAAGTCCAACCCCGGCTGTGTCTTCAACTCTCTGGTGTCCGGACGCCTCTACAACATCTCCATCAGCACCTGCAGCGGGCGGTACCAGAACCACACTTTCATCCAGGAAAGAACACGTGAGCGCCGCCTCTCTGTGTGTCTTTTTGTGTTGGTTTCTGTTTTCTTTATCATATTTTTGTTTGTGCTTATGTCTCTCTTTTTGGGATTTATTTGGCGGTATATTACGAAGCAGGTTCAACAGAGCTGGGCTTTCTTTCCATAGCCTCGAAGGAGAAGGGAAAGCTGTGTTCCACTTCTGAAGCTGTGCATGCTGGTTGTTCTGTCTAATTGGAATGCAGCCCTTGCCAATGAACCCATGCCTTCTCTTTATCGTTTGAGTCAAAATGTTTGCACATTCAAACACTGTCCCAACATGTTCACTAAAACTGGTTGGAAAGTATTATGTGCGACTGGAACTTTTGTGCATGAGGCAGCCATATTGGTTTTAACAAAAACGGCTGGTCAGGTCTCTTTTCGTTGGATCAAATTTTTTATTTCCCCGACAGTCTGACGGTATTTAACACGTAAGACACTGAACAGATGACATCTAAATATTGCTGTGGTCTCATTGTTTTTTCAGTCAGGGATTAACAAAGAGTGACTAAATGAGTAAAGTTTCCTACAGACGACCTGCTCTAAAGCATGTGATCACTTCAGCCTCTGTTACCATGGTGATACCAAACCTTTGGTAATTCATATCACAGTGTCTATTTGGAAGACTTTTATTGTTGTACTCACTTCATGAGACTATCACAGAAGTCTTAGGTGGAAGCACATTAACAGTTCTATTTATTTAAACCCATCAGAACCGTCAAAGGTGCAGAACCCCACAGCGATCCACGGTGCTCGGGACGACTACCTGAAGATTTACTGGCGTCACGCTGCTGGAGACTTTGACCTGTACCAGGTGTTCATCAAACACAACAACACGTTCCTGCAGAATAAGACGGTGCAGAAGACTCGGAGTGAGTGTGTGTTCACGGGTCTGGTACCAGGCAGGCTCTACACCGTGCAGGTAAACACCTGGAGTGGACTGTATGAAGCCAGCACTTCCACCCATGGCAGAACCTGTGAGTAACCACAGTCAGACTCACTGCGATCCAACATGTGGGATACCTTGAATTAACCATAGCTCCTCTTCCCCCTTCAGTCCCTGCAGCAGTCCGGTCCCTGGTTCTGGCAGGACAGGGGACAGAGGAACTGCGGGTGACATGGTTATCTGCTCCGGGAGACGTGGATCACTACGAGGTTCAACTGCTGTTCAGCGACATGAAGGTGTTTCCTCCCATCACTCTGGGCAGCGGGGTGGGAGAGTGCGTCCTGTCGTCGCTCACACCTGGACGGCTTTACAAGATCCTGGTGTCCACCTACAGCGGTCCGAATCAGAAGGCCCAGCACATCGAGGGCCGCACAGGTCAGACCTGCAGCCACAGTCAGATGGTGCTTTAGAGACGCTGTCTGAGAAAAAAAAAACCTATGATTTCAAACCGTTTTCATGTTCACAGACTTTCTTTTTCTTGTAGTTTCATGGTCGTGTTTGTCTGTCAGTTTGGGTTTCGGTTAGAATCACTTCTGAAACACGTTTCTTCTCCTCATCAGTTCCCAGTAAAGTGAAGAACATCCATGTCAGCGGTGACAGCAGCAGCCTAAAGGTGAGCTGGTCTCCTGGACGAGGTGACGTGGATGGCTTCTCCGTGTTCCTGTACAGAGGGAACCAAGAGCTGGCTGCCCGAAATACCCTGAAGCACCAGAATGAGGTGACGTTTGACTGGCTGCAGCCGGGTCAAATGTACACTGTAATGGTCCGGTCCACGAGTGGAGAGCTGCAGAACAACAACACCGCTGCAGGGCGCACAGGTCAGACCTTCACCTTAACTAGACAGGGTGCTCTACCCTTATGTTTTTGTTTGGACATGATGCATTTTGTTTAAATTACTCCCAATTTCCAGGAAATTTATTTAAATTCCTATAATTCCATATGGAAGGTTTCCTATTTTGAATATTTCCATGATCCCCTTCCAGTGGAAAATTTATGGAAAGTTTTGTTAATTTACCATAATATTTTTCACCTCTTTGTAGCCCTAACCACTTCACAGAGTCTTTGATGAGCTGTAACTCCAACTTTCTGCTCTCTAGTCCCATTAGCAGTCACGGGTCTGCAGGTGGATCCGGTCCTCAGCACCTGCAGCCTCCAGGTGAGCTGGCAGGAAGCGCTGGGCATGGCAGATGGATATATCCTGCAGGTTCTGGATGACCGAGGAAGCCTGGTCACTAATGCCTCGCAGCCCTTCGGACTCACCAGCTATAGGTTTGATGGCCTTACACCGGGGAAGAAGTACCGAATCCTGGTCCAGACCACCAGTGGGGGGGTGCTAAGCCTGGGTGTCAGCACCAAGGCACGCACACGTAAGACTTTTTGTTTCTACTCAAACTAAATGTCTGAATCCATTAGTTTTACAAACCTCTACAAAACCAAACCTCTTGTGTTTCTCTAACAGTCAAAACTTGTCCATTTTCTCCATCAGGCCCCGCCTCTGTCACCAACCTGTCTATCAGAACCAGTACCACCAGCAGCCTGTCCTTCTACTGGTCTCCACCTGAGGGAGACTTCCAGTTTTATGAAGTCTTTCTGCATAAAAGCGATGAGTCGCTGCAGGAGAGCCGGCGGGTCCAGCCCAGCGTTCAGCTGTGCTCCTTCCAGGGTCTCAGGCCTGGAGCCCCTTACAAGATGGTGATCCTGATCCACAGTGGAGACCAGACCAACCAGACCTTCATGTGGGCCAGGACAGGTGAGAGCAGCCACATGTTGTAACCCAGCAGTGGAGGGGGCAGGTTTTTGAACTGCAGGTTACATCTGTGAACATTTTGCCCTTCAGTCCCAGCAGCAGTGGCATCTCTGAAGGCTCGGAGTGGAAACCAGTCCGATGTTCTGTGGGTGAACTGGGATCGGGGTGACGGTGATGTGAGCGGATACCTGCTGTCTCTCTACAACCCTGATGGTTCCAGGCAGGCCAAGCATCAACTGGGCTCAGAAGCCACAGAGTTTGTCTTCTCAGGCCTCGTACCTGGCCGACAGTACCAAGCTGAGGTGCTGAGTCTGAGCGGAGAGCTACACAACCAAGCCAGCACCATGGGCCGTACTGGTGAGATGCATCATGTCTCTGACATAACTGTTAACTGATGTGGTTAAAACTCACATTCTTCTTCAGTAAAAACAAAACCTAAAAAACAAGGGCTGCCATTTTCTCCCACCACAGCTCCAAAACCTCCTACTTCTTTTCTGTTTGGTGGGGTCACCAACACCTCTCTGGAGATCACCTGGAGCGGTCCTGTAGATTCGGACTATGACGACTTTGACCTGAAGTGGACTCCCCAGGACCGGCTCTCAGTCTTCAATCCATACCGCAGTCGAACGTTCGGCAGCCGCATCCTGAAAGGGATGTTCCCCGGACGACTGTACACCTTCAGCCTCCGCACTGTCAGTGGAGCCATGCAGCCCGGGGCCATGCCTACCTACAGCACACCGATTCAGAACAGCATCAGAACCAGTATGTGGCAGAGCCTCACTCAGATTCAAAGAAGATTCAAGATTATTTTTTTTTTGTATACAACTAAAATTCAGAATCTATGTTGCAACGAGACTTCAGTCAGAAATTTCAGTGTGAACATTTAAACTAGTTTAAAGGACAAAGCCTCATAGAACTGGTCCAAAAGTCCAGAATCAAGTCAGGTGTGTTTGAGTGTTTGCTCCAAGAACTGTCCTGAAGTCCAGTCAGAGTGAGTTAGATGTTTAAGGGTATTGGTCTTAGTAGAACTGATCTATAAATCCAGAATCAGAGTGAGTCAAGTGTGTTAGAATGTTGGTCTCAAAAGAACCCTTTCTGGACGTCCAGAATAAAACTGTTTGTTGTATTGAAGTACTGGTCTCTATAGCTCATATGTGTCAAACGCAAGGCCCGGGGGCCAAATGTGGCCCTCGTTGACATCTTATCTGGCTATTTTAAATGTAAAATACTTTTATCACTTTAATATTTTCAGTAATCTTTGATTATGATGTCAAAAGTGCAACAGAGAACGTCAAATGAGACCAATCAAACTCTTGTTGAGGAACCTGCAACCAAGAAAAGATGTTGGGTTTCTAAATTGAGTTAATGTAGATTCTGAAACCAGCACTTAGTTTGAAAAAGGTTTTAATTTTGGCCCTCTGTTGTAAGTGGGTTTGACACCCCTGCTATAGAAATTCCAGAATTCTAAAGTCCGCCTGATTGAGGTGTTTTTGCCAGTAGAACCAGTCCAGAAATACAGAGAAGCTGCCAGTTAGGTGTGTCAGGGTGTTGGAAGTGTTAGAAGAACCTATGTTCTCTGAAGGTATGAGTTGTCCTGCTTGGACAGACTTGGACCAAACCAGAGTCTTGGAACTGGTTCAGGCAGTCACACCTTAAAAACTCAAACAAAGTCTGTTTTTATGACGAATGCCTGGTCTCTCTGCAGAACCGGTGCGAGTCCGCAGCCTCCACTGTCATCCTCAGAGCTCCACTTCCATCTCCTGCTCCTGGGGGGCTCCAGAGGCTGACTTTGATTCCTACTCAATTGAGTGCCTCCACCAGGAGTCCCACACTCTGGTGTATTCACGCCGCACCGGGCGAGACTCCACCAGCTACATCATCACCCAGCTGGAGCCCCACAAACTTTACGCCATCTCCGTGAAGGTGATGTCTGACGGGACGACCAGCGAGGCGGCAGAGGACAGGGTGGTCACCATGATCGACTGTACGAGAGGGTGGGGGTTAACATCTGGTGTGCTGTGGTGGAAGGTGGAGGCAGTTCTAAGAGGTCTATTTCTGTTGTTGTCCTCACAGGTCCACCTAGGCCCCCTGTCAGCACCCGGGTTAGTGAAAAGTCTGCTGTGGTCACCAAATCCTCCATCATATTCCAATTTAACTGCAGCTGGTTCAGCGACGTCAACGGAGCCGTCAGCTTCTTCACTGTGGTTGTGACCGAGTCTGAAGGTGAGCTGAACAAAATGGCCTCAAACCCGTCAGGGACACCTCAGCTTTATAGGAAACCTTTGTGAATCCAAAGAAGTCCTGCAGAATCCTGCCTCTCTTTACAGGATTGCAAAGACAAGATAAAAATAAAACGCCAGAGGAAGAAACGTCCTGATGCATGCTCAATAATCCAGATAAATCTAACAAGGTCAAGTCATGTCTTCTGGACAGATTCTTCTTTATTGAAACATTTCATCTTTTATCCAAAAGACTTCTTCAGTTTGAGGAGCTGCAACAAACTCAGTCTTATAAACACCACCTTCTCATAGTGGATCAAACAGTTTGCTGGTGACAGTCAGAACTAGCTGTTCACATGTAAAAGGAGGACCAGCAGCCTAACAATTGGTCATTAGTGCCCTGATGGCCACTTACTATTCACAGAGGGCTGAGGGATACTAGCAATACCAGCATTGTAAGAGGGGGACAGTTGAACACGGAAACCCCACCCCTCTTTAACGATGGACAAGTTCTCTTCACAAAGATGGCCTCCTTAGTTATTAAAGTTAAAACAAGCAGAGCAGAAGCTGAAATAAGCCACAACTAAAAGCTAAAATATGCAAAACAGCACAGAAGAATAAAAATACTAAAATAGTAGGTAAATTCAAAATGTAGCAAAACTGTATCAAAAAGCTACAGTTAGCTAAATGTAGCTAAAAGCTCAATGTAAAAAAATTAAAGCTTAAATTGATAAAATTGTACCTAAAAAATAAAGTTGGCAAAACGGTGGCAAAAATCAGAAACGAGAAAAACAAAATAACCTACAAAATAAACAGTAGCTAAAAACTAAAATACAAAACTTAAGTAAAAGCTCAAACTAGCAAAACAATAACTAAAAGCTACATTATGCAAAACAGTAGTGAGAAATAAAATAAGCTAAATAGTAGCTAAATACTAAATGTAGCAAAATTGTATCAAAAAACTCCAGTTAGCAAAACAGTAGCTAAAAGCTAAATGTAAAAAAGATTAAAGTTGGAAAAAGGCCAAACTGTATCTGAAAAATAAAATGTACAAAACTGTAGCTAAACAGTTGCTAAAAGCTACAATATGAATATGACAGTAGATAAAACTTATAGTTCAAGTAGTAGCTAAAGACTAAAATAAACCCAAAATTAAGCTAAAACTAGCAAAACAATATATGAAAGCTAAATTATGCAAAAGACTGAAGCAGTAGCTACAAGCTAAATGTAAAAAATAAAATCTGAAATAGGCCCAAACCGTAGCTTAAAAATGAAATGATAGCTAAAAACTGATATTAGCAAAACATCAGCTTAAAGCTATATGAAACAGTAGCTACATCTTACAATTCAAACAGTAGTTAAAAGCCAAAATAAAATTAAAACCCTAGTATAAAAGCTAAAGCTAAATAAAATAGGTACAACAATTGCTAGGAGAGAAAATGAGCAGAATGATATCTTGAAGCTAATTGTTGCAAATCCATATAACAAAAAGCAAAAGTTTGCAGAGCAGGAGTTAAAACCATAATTAAAAGCTATAATTAAAACAAAGTTTTCATTTTTCATTTTGTTTTGTTCTCGTGAGTTTATTCTCGCTAGATGTCTTCAGTTGCCAAAATGCTTAAAAAAAAATTCACCTCACGAGGGACCGGACATCCCGAGTGTGCTCTTTGTCCCGATCCAGTCTCAGGACGTCAGTGTTTGGGTCTATCGACCACTTCCCATTACAATCACAACAACATGATGTATAATAACAGGCCAAGCTGGAGCACGCTAAGTCTATGTAATCTATTTCCTGTCATGTGATACTCTGAGGTCCAATGAGTTGACACGTTGCAGAAACTTGATAAATCATTAAAGACACGTAAAAAGTCTGGACAAGCTTCTCTAACATGAAAACCTGGAACCTCCTGACCTGTCTGCAGGTTTTGATGACGTGCAGCCGGACCAGCAGCACCCCCTGCCCTCCTACCTGGACTACAGATCCAACAGCTCCATCAAGTCCTATCAGACCAGCTACATTGTGAGCCGCTGCTCCGAAGGTCCTGACAGCAGCACCTACATCTATAACATCAGCCTGGGGACAGGGATGGACCTGTTAGGTGGTCCCTGTGACCACAGAGACCTGAATCATCCAGAGTCTAGCAGGGACCTGAACAACTTCTGTGATGGACCACTTAAACCCAAGACTTCTTACAGGTACTGAGCACATCCTCTGGTTGACCCACAGGTATGAAGATGAAATCAAACATCTACAGAATACCTTTCTGTCTCTAAGTTTGTCCCTGTCTGGTGTCCACTGCCCAATTCAGACCTAACTTACCTGTGTAGGTTGTTAAGAACTGGATCTACTGAGTTCAACGGTTTTTGATAAACATTCCTGCAGATGGCTTAACAGACGGTACAAGAAGAAGAAATGTTTTTGTTGTTGTTTGTCTCTCAGGATCAGCATCAGAGCGTTCACTCAGCTGTTCGACAGAGAATCACCCGAGTCAAGATCCTGGTCTCCGTTATTCACTGACACCTTCCTGTCTCCACCAGTCACCACAGAGACCGGTGAGGTCCAGTCCATGAGATACTTGGAGAACTAAACAGTTTAAATGTTTTAAATATTTGGTACTCGCGTTCCAGTTTATAATAACTGAAACACCTTTTCAACGTGCGTCTCAATCAGAAATGCTACGACTTTTTCTACCAGAACATTGTACGTCATGAGCACAATTCAATAAAAAATGTCCCCATGTGAGTTTGACAAAACAGTTTTGGAGCTTTGCTGCTCAGACTTCACAACAGAAACATCTTTTAAATTTTAAATACGTCACAGAAAGTTGGACTTTGGTTTTTACGCAATCCCAGTTCAGGTTTAATGAATTTTGGAGATTTTACCACAAACTGTTCAAGTTTGTGATGATGTCACTTTAACTCAGGGGTTTCTTTTACTTTTGATTTACAAAATAAGAGTTACAGAGACTTGTAACCTCGACTATATTGCTGTAGTTTATACCTTTTATACATGCTTTCATGCATTTATTATTTTTTCATCTGTTTTTGTAGCATTAAGACTAAAAATTATAAGCAATTATTTTTAAATTTTATTTTATTTTTTGTAAATCTGAAGACCCTAGAAATTGTTTCATGAAACAAAGTGTGGTCACGACTTCAACCTCTGGGCTCTACTGCTCAAATTTTAAACAGTTGAGTAGAGTGGGTCAGTTCCTGATCCTGGTTTAATGATTCGAGTCCTCACACTGAACCAAGGCCCACTAATACAAGGTCTAAATTAAACTGAATCCTTCATGTCATCTGGCAAACTACAGATAAAAACCAGTGGGTTAGAAATTACACTGAAAAAAATACTTGTTATGTGAATGACCCAAGTGAACCTGGTCAATTTAGCGAGGGACTCAGATTAATCTGAGTTCTTACAGTGGACATAATTTACCAGATCCAGGGTTGAATCAGAGGCTTTTAGTCCAAAAAAGGAAGACATATTGACCTGGAACGTCAAAATAAACATTGCAGATACTCTTCAAAATAAGAGTCTGGCTCCATGACACTTCAGGTTATTGCGAAGTCAAAGTTAATTTAATTGTGACTTGGTGCTATATAAAAAAACGGAATAGATTTGAATTGTGTGATAAAAAGACAATACCTCCTGAGCTCTGGTAGAAAACGAAATCTGAGTGAGGAAGACAGGTGAGACAAAACAGGTGGAGGATGAAGATAATGACCTCGAGTTTCTTTTTTCAGAACCGCTGAGTGGCGTCATCGAAGGCATCAGTGCCGGACTCTTCCTCATCACCGTGATGGTGGCGGTCACGGCTCTGCTGCTCTGCAGACATCGGGCTCACAAACAGTGAGTACCTGCAGACACACCTGAGCATTGTGGGAAGTACGCATGACAGGTGTGTTACACCTGACAGGTGTGTTACGCCTGTGTGTGGGATGTGCTACACCTATGTGGGGTGTGTTACACCTGCGTGTGGGATGTGTTACACCTGTGTGTGGGGTGTGTTACACCTGTGTGTGGGATGTGCTACACCTATGTGGGGTGTGTTACACCTGTGTGTGGGGTGTGTTACACCTGTGTGTGGGGTGTGTTACACCTGCGTGTGGAGTGTGTTACACCTGTGTGTGGGGTGTGTTACACCTGCGTGTGGGATGTGTTACACCTGCGTGTGGGATGTGTTACACCTGTGTGTGGGGTGTGTTACACCTTTGTCATGGTCTCCATCAGGGTGGAGGATGCATCTGCTGCAGTCAGGTGGAGTGTGAGGAGGGAGAGATCAGCTGCAGGAGTCCAGCTGGGCATCAGAGGGTACGAAATGATCTACAATCACTTTTATTGATTATTAATTATTATTTTAATACATGTTTGTGAGCATAGACGAGCTGATGGAGCATTTTCTCTGAACCAGTTTAGCTCATCTGTTGTTTCTTCTTTTTTGTTTTTACCAGCAATAGAAAGATCTCCAGGTGAGACATCCAGATTTAAATGTTCTGGTTATGACCTTTGAGTTTTGTTTTTGGTGTTAAACCTTTTGCTTCTTGTTTTCAGTCCCATCAAGGTCATAAACTTTGAGTTTCACTACAACAAACTGCTGGCCGACTCCAACTACCTGCTGTCAGAGGAGTATGAGGTCAGTTAATGTCAGCTAGATAGTTCAACTTTAACCGTTTGTTGTCTGTTTGATGAAACTGCTGTATATTTCAGTTGTTGAGTTTTGTTTGTTTTTCTCTTCCTGACAGGATTTGAAGGATGTTGGTCGAAATCAGCCTCTGGACTCGGCTCTGCTGCCAGAGAACCGTGGGAAGAACCGATACAACAACATCCTGCCTTGTGAGTGACGTCCCCACGTGACTCACCTGTCTGAATGATGTCCCCACCTGACTCACCTGTCCTCTGTGTGTTTGTCTCACTGGTCTTTCTGTCTTCAGACGACTCAACGAGGGTGAAGCTGTCCTACATAGATGATGATCCCTGTTCAGACTACATTAATGCTAGCTACATCCCAGTAAGACCAAACCCATCCATCTGTTCGTTCGTCCGTCCATCCGTTCCTCTATCCTTCCATTCATCCATCCATACATCCATCCGAACATCCATCCATCTGTCCATCCAAACATCTGTTCTTCCATCCATCCGTCCATCACATCTGTCCATCCAATCATCCATCATTCATCCATCCATCCTTCCATCCATCCATTCTTCCATCCATCCATCCATCCATCCATCCATCCATCCATCCATCCATCCGTCCTTCCATCCATCTGTACATCCATCCATCTGTTCATCCAAACATCTGTTCATCCAAACATCTGTTCTTCCATCCATCTGTCCGTACATCCATCCATCCATCCATCTGTCCGTACATCCATCCATCCATCCATCTGTCCATCCATTTGTTCATCCATCCGTCCATCCAAACATCTGTTCTTCCATCCTTCCATCCATCCATCTGTTCTTCCATCTGTCCATCTTAGATATTTAATCTTTTGATTGGACTTTACTTCGGAGTGATTTTGGACTGTGATTTGATTTGGACTGTATGTTGACCTGGTTCTGGACTGGTTTGGCTTGGGTTTTTCCTTTGTTTTAAACTGGTTCTGCACTATGATTTGATTCAGTTTGGGGCAGATGTTCTGGACTTACTGTGGAGTGTTTGAGCTAAGTTCATTATTGGTTTAAATGTGATTTGGTTGGACTTGTATTGTATGTTGACTTTTTCTGGGCTGGCAGTGGAGTCAGAATCAACTTGGATTTGTCCTGGGTTTTGTTTTGGATCATTTTGGACTGGGATTTGGTCAGACTTGGGTTTCTGTTGATCTGGTTCTGGACTGACTGTGAAATTAAAATGTGCTGGTGTGTAGATTCGGTTTAGTTTTGGCTTTGAACTGTGATTGCGTGGATTTGGTTCATATGCTTAGTTCTGTTGTAATTGGGGTTGAAATGGACCGGGTTGTTGTGGGTTTAGTTTGGATCGTGTTTTGTCTTTGTGGTCCTGGTCTGACCATAAACTTAAGGGGGACCTGATTTTCTACTGGTTCTGGACAGGTTTGGACTGTGATTATTCTGCTGCAGAATAAAACACAATATTGGATAGTTTCAGACAATCAACAAGTGGGCCAGAACATGAATCTAGATTCAGCTGGACTTAATTGTTTAGCAGTTCTTCAGACTGGCAGTTATATTCCTTCAGTTTTCATCTGAAGTGTTTTAGTCGTTCATGTGGGGTTCTTTTGGACCTGCAGCCTGTTTTAAACCTGTAAATGCAGATCCCATTGATCTGGTCTTCATCCAGTTGTTTTAACTGAACCTGTTCTGTTTTTATTGGTCCGGTTGATTCTGTTCTGTGTTTTCAGGGGAATAACTTCCGTCGAGAGTACATCGCCACTCAGGGCCCTCTGCCGGGAACAAAGGATGATTTCTGGAAGATGGTTTGGGAGCAGAACGTCCACAACGTGGTGATGGTCACTCAGTGTGTGGAGAAAGGCCGGGTGAGACAGGACATGTCAAACCAAAGAGTTTCTGGAACCATAACCTTGTCAGTGGAATCCTGATGTTCCTGTCCCCTTCCATACAGGTGAAGTGTGACCACTACTGGCCCTTTGACCATGATCCTCTCTACTACGGAGACCTGATAGTCCAGATGCTGTCAGAGTCGGTTCTGCCAGAGTGGACGATCCGCGAGTTCAGAATCTGCAGCGTACGTTTCCTGATTATTGAACTGGCTGAAAGACTCGTCCAATAAAAGTGTCGAAAACAGATTCAGCTGGTCCTGGATCAGATTTTATGTCTCTGTGTTCAGGAGGAGCACCTGAGCTTCAGCCGCCTCGTTCGGCAGTTTCACTACACGGTCTGGCCTGATCACGGAGTCCCAGAGAACACCCGGTCCCTCATCCAGTTCGTCCGAACCGTCCGAGACTATATCAACAGGACCCCTGGTTCTGGTCCCACCGTGGTCCACTGCAGGTACAAAACAGTCGGAGGTTAAAGGGCAGCTACGCTTTATTAATCTGCTGACCAATCAGAGTTGTAGAGCAAACAAAAGGCACTTTTAAAAAACGGTTCTACAAAATGGCTGCAAAGACCATTCGTCTTTAATCTGCATCTGACTTGTTGTAAATCGCTAACGGAGGCGGCCACACCCTGCAGAGATGTGAGCTTCTAGGTATGAATCGCAGAACCAAAAGTGGCACGAATAACTACACATTAAATGACTGATAAACGTCTCCTTCATACCATTTTCAAAATATGATACATTATTTCAGTTAAGCCATTCTCTTTGTGGTTGTTGTGTGCTCCCATTGACTTTCTAATGAATTTGTTTATTGTTGTTTAGGCCTTTAAATCTTGGTGGTCGTACCGACTCCTTATTACATCACATTTGAGCTTCAAAGCCAGCTTATCATTTCACTAGGGGTGTAACGGTACGTGTATTCATCATGAAACGGGTGCTTTGAATATATTTATTAAATCTCCCTGGTACAGTTTGTCACTTTTCCACACTAGAACTCAGCCCACTGAGAAGCTACGCTTGAAAGACCTGTGAAGGTGTTCGATAATCATTTCATGTCTGACTGTAGAACCAGTCTGATGCATGCTCTAATCAATCTGTAGTGACTTTCTTACAGCAGCTGATCCCAAACAGGCCGCTCTGGTTTTGTTCAGTAAAACGTCTTCTGACTAGAGTCTGGTGTGTGTTTCAGTGCTGGCGTGGGCCGCACCGGAACCTTCATCATCCTGGATCGAGTTCTTCAGCAGCTCGACACCAGAGACACGTTGGATATCTACGGTGCCGTTTTTGACCTGCGGCTCCATCGATCGCACATGGTGCAGACTGAGGTAGGACTGATGCATCATGGAAGTGTGTGTCATCGTACAGCACCAGTGTCATCTTCAAGTCTTAGTTGGCTGATTCTTTTTAGGCCTAGATGAGTCATAAGAACAAAAAGTGATGTCAGACTGCAGAACTCTTTCACATTTCTTTAAACATTTAATCCAGTTTATAGAAGAGAAACTAATCGCAAAGTATGGCATTAAACTTAAAAGTTTATCCTGAAGTATGCCAAACTGTGTACTTTGAAAGCATTTACTGGAGTAGTTTTCCCAGATATACTGACGTATCATTCTGAAATACAGGTCTGCTCTGAATGTAAACAAAGTGCTCGGTTGAAACAAACCACTTGGAAGATTGGGTCACATGACTGACCTACATTAGGTTGGCTCTAGTCTGTGTAGGTAAACAAGTATGAACATTGGTTTAATGTTTGACCTATTTTTGGTCACTTCAGTGTTTTCATAAAGAAATGCATGTGGTAGTTGGCATCAGGTCAAAAATTTTAATTTAAGAAAACATCAACCATGAATATACTTCGATAAAGTTTAGTGCACTTCTTGGTTTGTATTGTTGTGATGCTTTTGTTTCTGTTTCTGTAGGGGAAACAGCAATCTCTAGCTCTCTTTCAAGCTCATGTTCTAAAATCATGCAGGGGCGCACCAAGGAGGGGGCAAGGAGAGGGGGTGGACAATGGCCACCCCTAGCTAAGGTGAAGAAGGATTTTGGGGTTCATTGCTACCTGCCATTCAGTCCTGGTACAAACGGTGCAAGATTTTCCCATTACTGGCAGCAAGTCTGAACCCTTCAGGGTGGGAATTGGACTCACGTTGTCACAATGCAGTTCTTAACTTTTATAGACAGAGTTTCTTGGTGTCGCCAGCTGGTGCAAGGGGTCCAGTTCAGTGCCCTCAAGATTTCTTCTCTGCTGTTTGCAGATGACATGGTCCTGTTGGAGTCACTGTGTTGTGATCTCACGTTCTCACATTCGGCTGAAGCAGCTGGGATGAGGACCGGTGCCTCCATATCTGAGGTCATGGTCCTCAGTAGGGAAAGGGTGGACTGTCCTCTCCAGGTTGAGGGTGAGGTTCATGTATCTCAGGGTTTTGTTCATGAGTGAAGGAAGAACAAAATGTGAGATTGACAGATTGATCGGTGCATCTACCAAAGAAGTGTACTCTCTGCGCCGGTCCGTTGTGGTGGAGGGCTCTGAGCTGCAAGGCGAATCTCTCTGTTTATCGGTCGGTCTACATTCCTATGCTCATGTATGGCCACAAACTCTGGGTAGTGACTGAAATAATGAGATTATAGTTCCAGGTGGTCTAAATGGGTTTTCTCGGCAGGGTGGCAGACTCTCCCTTAGAGAGGAGAAGTGAGAAGTTCAGTTATCCAGAGACTTGGAGTAGATCCTGCTCCTCCACATCCAGAGGAGCTAGTTGAGTCGGTTAAGACATCTGGTAAGGACCCTGGACACGTCCCTAGAGAGGTGTTCTGGACAGGTCCAACTGGGAAAAGACCCGGGGAAGACCCAGGACACCATGGAGAGATTCAGACTTTTCAGCTGGTCTGGGAGTCCTTCCAGAAGAGCTGGAAGAGGTGCCTGCAGAGAGAGATGTGTGGACCTCCAAGCTGCTACCCCCAAGACCCAATGGATGGATGGATGGATGGAGTCTCTCTCGATCTGCAGGACTTCAGCAGCTTTCTTAGCTCTGGCTGTTTCTGATTTGATGGAGTTTGTTCAGAGTACAGGAGGTCCTTCTGTGTTGTTGTCTTATGGTTGTAGTTTGAACCTGTTGGTACATCAGTCTGTAGGATGGAGATGTAATTCAGTATCTCAGTCCAAAATGTCCTCAGCTGGCCACAAACGGTGTGTCCCTCCTCTCCCACCAGGGTCAGTACCTGTACCTGCATCAGTGTGTTTGGGACGTCCTGAGAGCCCGGAAGCTGCGCAGTGAGCAGGAGAACCACCCGGTCCTGAGGACGTGAAGTCCTGGCAGGAGGTGAGTCACCCTACGGATCTTCAGTGACCATCAGCAGATCTGCCGATCACAACTATTGATCGTTTCCCACAAAAGGACTGCGGAGCGATGACAGAAACGCAACACTTTATTTTTTTATCAGTGTTAATATTTTAATCTGCAGATTTATTATAATTTATGTAGCTTGTGATTTGTGTGTCTGTTGTACACAGTGTTTCTGCTGTTTCACGAGACTGAACTGTTTGATCGGCCCCGATCAATAATCAATACAATAACATCAGATTATTGTCGTACATGTGAGGAGGAGCAGCAGCTCCTGGATGTTACCTGTTGTTCTACCTGTACCTGTCTGTGAACATTAAACACACCACACGTGTGCAACACACCTGATCTCTGTGATTATTGATCCAGATCTGCAGCAACACAAGCACACAAACTACAAAACACTGTAACTACACTGCAGCGCACAGTGACAGACATATGGAGCTGTGTGCAGCAATCAGCTCTGACACCACAGTAACACAAACTACTACAGCAACACAAACTACTACAGCAACACAAACTACTACAGCAACACAAACTACTAGAGCAGCACAAACTACTACAGCAACACAAACTACTACAGCAACACAAACTATGACAACAACACAAACTACTGCAATAAAACAAATGACTACAGCAACACAAACTACAACAACACAAACTACAACATAAACTATAACAGCAACATAAACTATGACAACATAAACTACTACAGCAACACAAACTACTGCAATAAAACAAAATACTACAGCAACACAAACTGACAATATAACTACTACTACACTAACACAAACTATGACAGCAACACAAACTACTACAGCTACACAAGCTAGGACAGCTATACAAAGCACAACAGTAACAGAAAGTACTACAGCAACACAAACTATAATAAAAACATAAACTACTACGTAACACAAACAGTGACAAGATAAACTACAGTAACACGGTAACACAAAGTACAAGTACCCCAAAAAAATCTACTTAAGTACAGTCAAGTGAGTATTTATAATTAGTTACTTCCACCCCTGGTTGTAGCTGCACTGACGGCGTGACACGTGGGAGGAGATATGAGAAGGTAGCAGACGAAGGAGGGATTTATATATGAAAATTAACCAGTGTGCGAGCATTTGTGTAGATAATGGCCAACTGACCAATGAGTACAGGGTGCAGTGATGGGTACAGTAGTTACAACCAGTTATGTATCTTAGCACATCGTGGTAGATATCATCCAACATCTGCAAGGAGCTGGCAGGGGCATTAATGTAAATAATGTCATCTTATCAATGGCCAGTAGGAAGGTAGCAGTTACAAGGTGTTTTCTGGCATTCAAGCAAGATCTATTTCTGAAAAAGAAGCCCAGTTTTATTTTCAGTTTCTTTATCAAGTTTTCGATATGTGGTTTAAAAGAGAGATGTGCATCAACCACAATTTCCAAGTATTTGTAAGAATCTACAAACTCAATAAGAACACCATGCATGGATGAGATTGGAGGAAGAGTTGCTAGCACCGACTTCCTGTTTGAAGACAACATCCCTTTGTCAGTATTTAGCACCAGCTTGAGATGGAATAAGTCTGACTGGATGATGTCAAATGGAGACTGTAGAAGCTGGAAAACCCTGGCAATTGTGTTAGCTCGGCAATAAACAACAGTGTCATCGGCATAGAGATGCAAGGATGCATCTGGAATGTTTAGACCTGCATTATTTATATAAATTGTAAAAAGAGTGGGGCCTAAAACTGAGCCTTGTGGCACACCATTGGTGACCGTTTGGTAGCTAGATGAAGTACCATTATGTTGAACACATTGCCTCTGACCTGAGAGATAGTTTGAGAACCAGCTAACAATGTGATATGAGAAGCCAATATCTGAGAGCTTATGGCATAAGATGTCATGATCTACAGTATCAAAGGCTTTGGACAGTTCTAAGTAATAAGGATGCATACAAATTGAGAATTTATTTTTATTTTTTAACAAGTGAAAATAAAATGGTATTTAAAAGGAAAAGTAACAAAAAAAAAGCTATGTTGTAGGGTGATGTAGACAACTTAAAACAAGAACAATGTCTGCATTGGTTCTTCCCAGGAACTTAACAGATGTTTAAAGCCACTAGGGTCAAGGTTGAGAGCTTCAGATCTTTTTGTAAGATATTCCAGGAAACAGGAGCAAAGTAGGAGAAGACCTTAGAGGCCTTAGAGGTGTTAAGAGTCCTGTTGGGTTTGAAATGTACCGGGATGTTGTGTTTGGAGAAAATCCTTCCGAGTTTCTCGGATATCTCAGATATTATCAGATATTTCTCTTTTTTGTGTGTTGTCTTGTTGTGTGTTTGTTTGTGTTTCACTTGTGTGTTACTGTGCGTGTGTTTCTGTGAGATGCTGTTTTGAGGTGTGTTTTTGTACTGACCTGTGTGTTGTTGTGTATCTTGTGATGTTGTGTGTTTGTGCCTGTTTTGTGTGTTGTCTTGTTTGGGTCTCACTTTTGTGTTATTGTGTTATCTTGTAATGTATTTGTTTGTTTCCATTTTGTTTTTGTGTGTTGTCTTGTTGTATTTGTTTGTGTCTCACTTGAATGTTGTTGTGCGTGTGTGATGTGAGGTGTGTATGTTTTTGTCCTGCCCTGTGTGTTTGTTTGTTTGTTTTATGTATTATTTTGTGTCCGTTATGTTTGTTGTCTTGCTGTATGGTTATTTGAACTATTTTTTGTGTGTCTGTTTGTTGAATAGTTTTATATTTGTTTGAACGTTTTTTTAATGTGTCTGTTGTTTGTTGTCTAATTGTATATTCGTTTGTACGTATTCGGTGTCTGTTTTGTGTCTGCTGACCTAAGCCTCGCTCGGCCCTCCGCGCATGCGCGCTGCGGAGGCTGAAGTGTCGGAAGTTGCGGTAGCAGCTCGCAGTGATTTTTAGCCCGACAGCCTGCGAGTGAACAAAACTTTGTTTTCTCCCCAAAAAAGTGCTTTTGGACGAAATTTCAGAGCTTTCATTGAACCACGGAGGACTGCAGATGGATTCTAATCGGTTCGGACCGTTTATTGTCGACGAAGAGCGGCTTTAGGAGCGTTTTAAAGAAGTTGTGATTGTTTTTTTGGCGCTCCAGCAGCGCAGAGGAAACATGGAGGATCTGCTGCTGTAGCAGCCGCTAACGATAGCTGAACGCCTGGATTTACGGACAGATCGGAGCCGCTCCTACGTCCGCTGGATGCCACAAAAGTTCGGATGGTAGAAGAGGTCAACACGCTAACCGAGCCTGGTGAGTATGGGTTGATGGACCCACAGGTTTGTGGCCCTGAGTAGAAAGGTGCGGGCGGAGAGCTGCTTGTAGCCGCCGAGGTGAAGCTCCAATCCGCGCTAGCTGCTGCTAACTAGCTGCGGCTAACTAGCTGCTGCTAACTAGCTGCCATTACAGCAACATCAGACTGAGAAAGTTTTTCACCGCAGCTCATGCGTGACCCAAACCCCGCAAAATAACAGCTCAGTGTGCGGGGTTATATGTTGTTTACTTAGTTAGTTAACTAGTTCATCTGGTTAGTGACGTGAACACACTCACTGCGTGCACGCGCAGAGGAAAGTGATTCATCCGTAGCTTCATAAATAAAACCTGTCAGTGCTGCTCAGATGATGGCTAATTGATCAATTAGTAATTAATTGAGTCATCCTCGCGTAGGTGTGACGTCACAGCACGACGATACTTAGCTTTTTGTGATCCTCAGAAAATGTATCAAGAGAACACGAGTATTCACTTTTTCAGCTCATTTTTTATGTGGTGATAAGAAGCAAACTTTTTAAAGCACCTTTCAGGACTAGAAACTTTTTAACAAGTGTATAAAACAAAACCTAAAATGAAGCACGTTTTATAATTTGGTTAAAACTAAAAGCATCACAGCTAATTAGGTGAGTCTTAAACTGCTTTTTCAATTAATTTATTGATCAATTAGTGATAAAATCATCAAAGTGTTCAGGTTTCAATCAACCCAATCTGTCCACAAGATTGTTTTTAACCCATGTCGTTGAAAACAAATGAGGTGTAATGAGCGCCAATCAGCAAGGCATACAGGATTATCTAAGATTATAATCTGTTGGAACAAAATTTTTTTTAAACATAATTAACCAGCAGCACTAAGGACCTAAGCAAGTTTAATTGATTATTTTATATTTACCACAGAGGTTCCAGTTAAATGCAATGACTGTTCTTCCAGGAAGTCTTGATGATTATAAAATTATGAACTAAAAACAAATGCATGTTGGCAGTTTCATCACTAATGAGCACAAATTTAAATCCAATATAAAATGGATCGCATGTTAAAATACTAATGGGATGTATAAAATCATACACGGTAACAAAATCGCTGCCAGTAAAAAGCTAAATACTAAACCAGTTTATTTAGACCTGCTGTCACTGTTTTTATGAAACGTCAGACATTCAGAGGTGGTGGTTTATCGAACACCTCACCAGTAAAAGTTCTGTGTAAACTCCCAATCCAGTCCTCGTTTCGTCACATTTTTCCTGAGTTTCCTGTAATCTTTTAAAGGTGTCAGGATCAACGATTCTCCAGACTTTATGGAGGTTTTTCTAAGGTTTTCTTTAGACACTGGCGCTTTTTCCCCTCTCAGTTTCAGTCCTTGAAGCTGACCTTTGACCTTTGGATCATTCGGGCATAAAACGGCTCCTAAACTCAAGGGGTGAGCCAGAGTTGTGTCGACACGGGACAGCGGGGCAGTAAAAAGAAAACGGTTTGAAATGAGAACCAACCAGACTGATTTTAATTGAAGAAATGTCATTTTGTCATCATTAGTCAGCGTGAACTTCATCCACCACAAACTTTGAGGAACAGCCTTTATTTATTTTGAGTCAGAAACTACAGACACATGTTCACTCAGACACCTTTCTGGGTTTCTCAGGTGATGGAACAAGCAGTAAAGGGAGAGTTCGGTCATTTTTTTCTTTACTGTAAAAGAAAATTTATTTTTGTGTTGATTTTTTTTTTGTGTGTCTAAATTACTTATTTTTTCATTCAAGACATTTAAAACATTTTAAAAGATACTTAAAAAGCTAAACCACTGTAGAAATATCTGCCATGAATTTATAGAAAAGTTTTGTGCTTAAAAGTAAAAAAAATTGGCTGAAAATTGACAAATGTAGAAATTTCAATTTTGGAGTTTTAAACGGTGAAGGAATTTAGAAACAAGTGGCAAATAACTTAAAATAAATAAATAGCCTTTTTGTGTTTAGCAGCTTGTTTCAGAAACACAATTTCTTCTCATTTACTTAACTGACTGAATAAAAATGACTAAAATTAACATTTTGACATAAAATAGGAGTTTAACTTGAATGAAGAGATTCATAAAGAGCTGAAAACTGAAATCAGCTGAAGGACGATCTCCCAGGTCTCATAACTTTTTTAAATTAGACTCTTTAATTCTCAGATTGCTTTAAGTTACTTTGAACACTCGTGCTGAGATTTAATCTAGTTTATAAGATTTAAATAATCACGAGTGAATAAACTACTAACATCAAAAGGAAATATAAAATAAAAAGATGTTCAGAATCGGAGGACACAATAACATCAAACCTGTCAGTGCATTTAATTAGTTTTTCCTTCGTAAAAGGAGTTTTGATGATTTACCCCTGGATGTCTTCAAACTTTGATTATACGAGTTTAAACGCGTTTTACAGGTTTCAGGATAATTGTTTTTGTTTGTTTTCAACACATCCCTAAAGTAAGAATTTGAAAATAACTTTTTAAAAATCAGTAAATTTTATGTTGATCACCTTTCTGATGAGTCGGCTATAAAATGTTTTCAGGCTCGAAAGTGACCAGAAACTAAAATAGTAGAAAAAGATTTTTATAGTAAAATATTACTACACTATCAGCTGTGATAAAACCCACCTGTTCTCTCTTTACAATCCTCACAACACTCTCCAAGCCCTGGCAGTATTATTTAGATAAATGGGAGTCTTTCTGATTCTCACATTGGGATTTGTTTTAATTATTTTAATCTTTAGCTGTATTATTATTATTATTATTATTATTATTATTATTATCTCACACTGATGTTGCAATAGCCACAAATATTTGATAAATTTGACAGCACTACCTGAAACCATCAGAGTTTCTGAACTAAAACTGAGCCATCAGATGATTAAAGGCACATATTTTCTGGAAGCAGATTCTGTCACAGTGAGGTTTATATTTTTCCTCCTGTTCAGAGTTATTAATTTGATATTGATTGGTTCTGTAACTTGCAGCTCTTTATGCTCTGACAGAAAATAACTTGTTTTTCATTGTTGTTATTTGTGATTTTGAATGGAAGAGAGAGAAGAGAACAAAAGCTCTGATTTAATTCATTGCATTTCTTAAAATGGTTATCCGGTTTTATTTAAATTAATTAACTTCTGTGATGTTAACTCAGCCCATCAGCAGAGATTGATTTTAGTTCAAAGCCTTGTTGTCAGAACCTGTAGTTCACGATGTAACGTCATGTCAACACTTCAGGATGTCCAAATGTGTCTTCATGTTGGTTTTTACCTCTGACTCCATCTCATGTGGTTCACACAATTTTAGACCTTAAAAGTCTTAAAAATGTCTAGATTTTCAATTTTATTTCCTAAAATACATTTCGTTATGTCATAAATTCAAACGTTCGTTCAGTTGTTTCATTGACTCGTTTTTTGTGCTGTCTTAGTTTGTTTGTACTTCTAAGGTTTTTATGCCCAAATAACTAAAATTCCCATCATGCAGCAGTCCTGTCTGAAGGACAATGGTGGACATTCAGCTTTCCTTGAAAAAGAGTACGGTTGCTCTGCTCCTGAAACAGGCTTGTTGATTAAATTTTTGTTTTTGCTATTTAGTTGTAAGTTTGAATCAACAGATTTCAAAAAGTCTTATTGAAACTTCCAGAACCCGCCTTTTTAGGTCATTAAATGTAAAATGTACTTTTTCCTCTCGCTCTTTCTCTCTCCAGTCAATCATATTTTTATTTGTCAACAAAATTGTCAGTACTTTTCATCATTGTTTTAGTCCTCATGCGTTGATTAAAACTGAGCAGGCGGAGCTTCTAGACTTGTGGGTGGAGATTCTAGGCTTATGGGAGGAGCTAGCATTAATCAACGTACGTTGCTTGTTTTAGTGTCGAAACATTTATCTGCAAGGAGCTGATCGTGTTGTGTCAGCAGCTTCACTCGTTCACTAATGTCAAGTTTTCACCTGCAGAGCTGCAGTTTCTTCCTGCAGACCCGCTGAAGCTCTGAGGATGGAAGCAGAGCAGCTGGAGGCCGGATCTCGGTGAGTCCACCTGCGGAGGTCCACCTGGGTAACTTCTTGTGACTCTGGTGTTCCTCACGGTTTGTCTTTGCTCCACCAGACGTCGGATGGTGCTCTGAAGAAGCCATGGGTAGCTGTTTAAGCTGTCCAGAGAAAGAGTCAGTTCCAGATAATCATCAGAGTAAATTCAAGGTGAGTTCCTGCCTCTACCTGCCCGCCTGCCTCGACCACACCCTCACTGACTAATGGTTTCTTACAGGACAGCTCAGTCAAATAGAGATGAGGCTCTTTAAATCACACCAGGACAAGGAGGAGGTGTTTATGAACTGGATTTTGATCTAGAAATGACTCTTCATGGACAAATCTTTGATTCGGTACTGGGTTCTGCTCGACGTTTGCCGAGTTTCACGTCAACGGTTCTGACTGTCGGCTTACTCTGCGTTATTTGCATCAAAGAACTTGAAGGAAAGGACCCAAAGTCTGAGACTAGATCAAACACAAGATAAGCAAAAATACTCTACTATAAATCCATTTTAGACTTCTGCAGTGATTTAACACCAACATGTTCATAGTGGTGTCACTTTGTCTCGCATCCTCTGACTGGATGAGTTATGATCAGCTGACTGGTCTGGAGTCCTGGAATAGAGTAAGACTTTACAAAATGTCAGAATCTTGGACCATCACAACGTTCTACCTAAAATCTTAACAAGAACAGACGTAAAGTCAGGCCATCACAATAAGAATGCTTAAGACCATTTTTTTTTTGTTTATTTGTTTTTTTTAAGTACAGGACTTCCTACTTGAGATGTACCTTAAACAGTTTTAAGCGTTTTTAAAAAGGTATTTCGGCTGTTCTAAGTCAGGAGTTCAAGATTTTTGCCATAAACAGCTCAACATGAAATCAAGAGGTGAAAAAAAGTAAATAAATAATAAAGTAATAAAGAAAAAAGCCAACAGAGACAAAACGTGTTGCTCTACCAAAGGTCCAAATGCTGCTTAAACAGCTCCTGTTTGTTGCTGAAATCCTCAGTAGTGTCCTCATCTTCCATCTTTAGTTGTGCAGGCGTGTCTGCTTCATTTATTGAACCAAAACTTTACCTGTTGAATCGTCAGTCTCTGTCTTCACAGTTTGACTTCATTTGTTTGACTTTTGACTTTAAACTGAACTGCTGATCCATCCTGACCAGCCTCCTTCAGGTAAACATGGTCGTTTTATATCTTCATTTCTTCCTTCGGCTGTTCTTCAAACATTCAACTACTTTTCTTGAGTTTCTCTTGCTAATGTGGAATCGCAGATGTTGGTGGTGAAGCGTTTTTTTTTTGTCTATTTCATTACCAAAATGTTTAGGGGCTGAGATGGTGTAGGGGCAGGGCAGCCGACATGGGACCCGAAGGTCCTGGGTTTGATCCCCGGTCATTGAACATCTTGTGGTGTCTCTGAGCAGGACACCAAATCCCGAATTGCTCCCCAGACACTTACATAGCTGCCCACTGCTCCACCTCGGTGTATCCCAGGTGCGATGGGTTAAATGCAGAGAGCCAATTTCGTCTTTGTATGGGAACATACAATGATGACAACACATAGCACTTTATTATTATTTATGTCTCCACCGCTTTAAATTGTTTGTGTGGCAGCAGTTTAAACCTGTCAGCAGGGCTGGGCGATATGGCTGAAAATCAATATCACAATATATTGAGCAGTTCACCTCGATAACGATAACTGCAATCCCCCCACCCCCGAAAATAATGTGATAGGCCGGCATAAATAATTCAATCATTTATATTGATGGCATAATTCCCTTTTTATTGCCATTTTAATGAACTTTAAAACTACAGCTTCTGCAAATAAATGAAGAAAATGTGTACTTTTAGTTGTTAATAGTTTTTGAACAAATCAGCACAACTGAACAAATTTAGAAGAATAAAATAACTTCACTTTTCCTGTAAACACAAAGTATTAAAACTACATTCTCTTGGGCTTTTTTAAGTTCTTCCCATTGGACCAGGTGGTTGTGTTGCAGGTGGTGGAAGAGGTTGGATGTATTGCCATGGCTTGTCGCAACAGTCTTGCGTAGTTTATACTTGGCTTTTTTTTTTTTGTTCAATATCGTCTTTGCTGAAACCAAAATGTTGCCAGACGACTGACACATTTTTTTTTTGGAAATTAGCTGATCATCTTCCTCCTGGACCAGCTCTGCTGCTGCCGCTTCAACATTTGAAATTTCCTCCATTTTCTCAACTGCACGGTCTCTTTCACTTCTTGTTACAGACTGGATGGGGTGGAGTCACGTGACTACAGACTGGATGGGGTGGAGTTACGTGACTACAGACTGGATGGGGTGGAGTCACGTGACTACAGACTGGATGGGGTGGAGTCACGTGACTACAGACTGCACGTAGTGCAGCGTCTTAAAGGGACATGAGCATAGCTTACACAACCAAAAGACAAAACGACTTTTATTATTTTTTTTTAAAACACAGAAAATACCGACATCGGCAAAATGACGTTGATCGTTATAAATTTCAGTGTCGGTTAATTTTCAATATATTGCCCAGCCCTACCCGTCAGGCACTAGGACCACACGGCATGTCGCTCAAGCAGCTGCTTTTATACAGTTTCTGCAGCTACAGTACGTGCTGAGAGGAAGAGCCTCTGTTGTTGCTCACTAGTTTTTAAAAGACTGTCGAGTTCACACGGCGACCTGCCAATTTTGAAGCTGAAGAAATTAAATTTGGACCTCTTGTTTTTTTTCATTTACCCTTTATTTATAGAGGTACGAGAACTCCTTTTCAAGAGAGACCTGTTTAGTGCGCAGATGGTGGGGGTTAAGGGCCTTGCTCATGGGTCCAGAGTGAGGATGAGGGTGGGAGCAAAAGCTTAGTCCCAATTTTCACACAGGCACCTTTATTAAAAAAAGCTGTAACTGTACAAAAGA